CTTTAAATGTTTTATGTGGTTAATTTTATTTTTGTTGGACAAATGGGTTTTAGAAGAAAAAATAGAAGTTATTATTATTATTTTTGGGTTTTAGATGAAAAAATAGAAGCTATTATTATAATTGTTTTTCCAGTGTCATTCATGGGCACTAATCTTGATGGTAACATTAAATATGTTTTATAGAAATTTATTTTTAATACAATATTTTATGTTTCTCTAATATTTAGTTTATATTTCTCTATTAGTTAATTTATATTTCTCTAATATTTAGTTTATATTTCCCTAATAGGTAATTTATATTAGGATAAAATTTTATTTATTTGGATTTGTTTATGGTTTTCTTATTATTTTGTGTGTTTCCATTATTAAATCGACAAATCATGATAATTGTTTATGATAAACGTAGAACTATGGATGCACCTAAAAAATCCATCGAAAAAAGTAGTTTTAATGTTGAAAAACCCTTTGATTGATCATCTCGACATCGATATGTATGACCATGAAAAATAAAAAGATTTTAAGTCTCAGAAATAGTGCATTTTTCAACATATTATCTACACCGTCTCTTTTCAAGATTTTCATATGTTTATAGATCTATTTGATTTTAACTATTTTTGAAATTTAAAATTTTATAATTAGATATAAAAATAGATTTTGACATAATCCTAAGAACATTTTACATCAAAATAATATACCATGATAAAATTTGAAGGTTTACCTTACCTCTACAACTGCAGATGCATCTGTATGCCAACTGCACCCATGTATTTTTAATGTTTTGTAGAATTTTATTAAACAATATTTTATGTTTCCCTAATATTTAATTATATTTCGCTAATAGTTAATTTATATTATGATAACATTTTATTTATTTGGATTTGTTTATGGTTTTCTTATTATTTTGTGTGTTTCCATTATTAAATTGACAAATGATGATAATTGGTTGATAATATATGTATTTTTAATGTTGATATTATCAGTAGGACTTTCATCTTTGATATAATTGTAGATTAGTATCTTTTGATT